TCCCAGCTACTTGGGAGGCTGAGGCAGGAGACTCGCTTGAGCCCAGGAGTTGTAGGTTGCTGTGAGCTGTGATGCTACAGCACTCTACCCAGGGCGAAGCTTGTGGCTCTGTCTCAAAAAAAAAAAAAAAATAGTGTCCCTGAACTTTAACGCAAACTGAAATTTATCTATTTCCCTCATATTAAACTGCATTTAAATAAGTTAAAAGCACAGCGTTAAAGAACATAAAATGTCAAAGAAAATAAAGATCTAACTGAGTTAACTTATCCAGCGTCCCCAAACAAAAAATGTACCCGTATGAGATTTGTGGGCTGGCCCACAGCGCACCTTCCATCCCCTCACCAGCACCCTCACTGGGCTCACCTATAATCACTTTCACTGGCTGCTGAAGCTTCCCTCACCTCACCCCTGGCTGATCATTTTTAGTTCTTTTGAAATCCTTGATTTTTGCAGGTACCTGAGGGTGAGGAACACACCCTAAGGTGGCCCCCAATAAGTCACATCCCTGTGCTAATCTCTCCCCTTGAGTTTGGTGGAACCTATGACTTGCTTCCAGCCAACAGAATATGGCAAATGTGATGGGTTATCATCCCCATAATTATATTATGTTATATAAGACCCCAGTTTAGCAGACTGAGGTAAGAGATCCTCCTGCTGGCTTTGATGAAGTTGCCAGGTTGTGCCAGAATCTATGAAAAGGCCACGTGATAAGGAACTGTGGAAGATCTCCAGGAGCTGAGTCATGCCCAGCTGACAGTCAGGAAGAAACAGGGACCCTAGTCTACAACAGCAAGGACCTGAATACAAGTGCATGGCCCTGGAAGAGGACCCCAAGCTCCAGAAAAGAGTGCACCCCTATCTGACTGCAGTGATTGCAGCCCTATGAGACCTTGAGCAGAGGACTCAGTTAAGTTATTCCCACATTCCTGACCCACACACACTGTGAGTGGCTAAATTTGCAGTAGAAAACTTGGGTATTGGATATTACTTATCTATCAGCAGATACTATCTAAATGATCCTTAGGATGAATGCTAATTCTCAGAATTATACTATGCCTTTTCCTTCCTATATGGAAATACATCATCAAGCTTTAACAATGTCTGTGATTTCAGATGTCCATTTACATTTCCATGTTCATGGAGCCCTAGTGAAATTCCCATGGTGGATTTTGAAATTTTCTGCTATGTTATCATCCCTCTCTCCCTAAGCTGCATCTTTTACCCTCTAAAAGTAAATACTGAAGGGAGAATCTCTGTTCTAACAAGCCTCCCAGCTACCGGATAACTGCTACTGCCTAAATCCCAACCTGAGGAAAAAATAGTGTATGGAACAGAAGTGATTTCAAGTTCTGACTAAGGGGAAAGTACAGTATAAAAAAAGCAAGAGGGATCCAGGTGCAGTGGCTCATGCCTGTAATCTTAGCATACTGGGAGGTCATGAAAAGACCATCAAGGGATTCCGTGGCGGGAGGTGGGGGACCAAAAAAAAAGAAAAGACCATCACTTGAGACCAGGAGTTTAAAATGAGCCTGGGCAACACAGTGAGACCTTGAGGATACAAAAAAAAAAAAAAAAAAAGTTTAAAAATTAACTGGGCGTGGTAGCACATACCTGTAGTCCTAGCTACTTAAGAGGCTGAGGCAGGAGGATCACTTGAGACCGGGAGTTCAAGGCTACAGTGAGCTATGATCATGCCATTGCACTCCAGCCTGAAAGACCAAGCAAGACTCTGTCTTTAAAAAATAAAAATAATTTAAAAAAATAAAAAGAGCAAGATCACTCTTTTTGCTGTTAATTTCTCCACCAGCCCCCTCCAAGGCTCTTATGTTATTAACATGGACCAATATTGTGGCAGGTATAGAAGGTGAATGGGCAGTGGTCAACAGAGAGACGCTACTTTACTCTTAAGATAAAATAAAAGCAAATGTATGGAAATTAGATAAGAGAAGACAGACAAATTCCAATCAGGTAGAAATTAGATGTTATTTAGCATTAAACATGTGAAGAAGTAAACAAAATCCATCATCAGTTCTAGCCTGATCCAGTCTTGCTGTAATAATATAAAGTACCCTTTCTAATCCTCACTGCAAGGCTACATCACCTTCACCTTGTAATCTTTAGTTCCCCAAGAATTTCAATCTCAGGAAAGAAGAGCCCTGGACGGCTAACATAAGTATTCCAATCACTGGAAAAGACTGTACCTCACTGTAAATTAAACTTGCAGTCTGGTTTACAGTGCTTATGATAGGAATATTGCACGGACCTGATGAGGGGTAATTCTTGGAACAGTAAGGCTCAGGCCCAGCCTGGTACAAAGGACTTCAAAGGACCCTGCCTACATCCCTACCACTAATGCAGTGACTCTGCAACAGCTCTTAAAATCAGAATATGGTGTCTCCAAATCCCATGTGAACATAGTTATAGTGAAAATTAGCATACAAAAATAACTTTTCTTTTTAAAATTTCTGTACAGATAGTATAATCTCCATAATTGAATGAATTACTGCATTTCACTGGATCTAAGACACTGACTATAAAACGTATTATTTTACACATGCGTATGGAAAAAACTGTCAATTAAACTTTATTACAATGTTAAATGATCATTGATTGTAAGACACATCCTGATTTTAGAGATGTTAAAAGTGGGTGAAAACCGTATAACTTAGAATCGATGAAATGCAGTACTAAAAAATGTATTCTGCAGATAATTATTCAAATGAAGTATTAAACATTACGTCTATTGAGTTGATATGTATTTATAATCAGGAGCACATTCTTAAAGCTATCATTTCTGCCTCACTTCTCATTTGAAATGAAGAATGAGCTGGCACTTGTATTAATTTCTAGCAGATATCTTGCACAAACTTTAAAACTTATGGATTCCCAGTTTGGAAATCATCTCGTTTTCATTTCTAGAACCACAGATCAGGAGGCAAGAAAAATGAGGCCTGTGTAAATGACGGAGTGTACAGCCAGAAGGCAGAGGTGAGGCTTGAAGCCAGATCTTTTGGTGTTGTGTTTTCTCTTCATGGAAATCAGAAATCCAACGAGTCATTAGCATTATTTAGTCCAACCTTACAGATAGGGAAAGCTCCATGATTTTGTTCAATTATGATACCCTACTTCTCAAAAAAAAAAAAATGCTCTCTTTGTATGCTCTGAGCAATGAAAACCATAAATTATTACCTAACCAGCCACATATCAAACATTAGCCCCATAACAAGATCCTACTGTATGAGACCTATTTGACTCCTTATAGAAGATGCTAGGAATGAGAACATTTCAAAACCTTTTAGCATTTGCTGTAAGTGGACATAGAAATTTCAATCTCGGGCGGCACCTGTGGTTCCGTGAGTAGGGTGCTGGCCCCATATACTGAGAGTGATAGGTTCAAACCTACCCCCAGCCTAACTGCAACAAAAAAAATAGCTGGGCGTTGTAGGGGGTGCCTATAGTCCCAGCTACTTGGGAGGCTGAGGCAAGAGAATCACCTAAGCCCAAGGAGTTGAAGGTTGCTGTGAGCTGTGGCCTCACTGCACTCTACCAAGGGTTAATAAGTGAAACTCTGTCTAAAAAAAAAAAGAAAGAAAGAAAGAAAAGAAATTTCAATCCCCAAAGCATGGTGAAAATCTGCTAATGCTCTGTTCTGACTGACATCTTTAGAAGTGATGATATTTAAAATGTCAGTGAATAATCCATCTTTTCTAATTGTTAGTCCCTTTTGTCCTGGTTTCTGGTAAGGTGCTTCATAGGGGAGTTGCCGGTATCAATGGGAAAGGACTCAAACACTAATGCATTTGAGAAGGATTGGTTGGAGACTTCAGCTGTGGGCTCCGTCCAAATATTTCTAGATGTCTCTATTACAGAATGCCTCATTGTATCATTCATTTCAATCACTTCAAAATCCATTTCATTCCATTTTTCTGCCTCCTCCTCTTCATTCTCTTCCTCATAGTCGTTTAGCCCAGAGCTAGACAGCAGAGCTTTCTGGTCCTCACTCTTTCTGTTTTCTTTTTGCTGGCGATGAAGAGGTGAAGTGGCTAATTTATACATCACAGGAAATAAAATACCAGTGGCTACTGATGCCCCCAAAGAAGTATACAGAACTACAGGCAAATCAGGGTATTTTCCTTGAAGAATTCCAATTACTGCAGGAATAGCCATTTCTCCCAGGGCAGCACCAATTACAAAAAATGCTGCAGCTTTCCCATGGATGGTTGTGTACTGCTCAATCCACGAAACACCACTGGGAAATGTGGTTGCCATTGAGGCGCCATACACTGAAGTTGCAATCCAGAGACAAATTGGGTTCTTGTTAAAAAGCACCAGAAATAAAGATGAAGCCAGGCTGCCAACGTTGCTCAACACAATCATGGTTCCAGGTTGTAAACATGTGGCAAAGAAGATCGCCATGCCCCGGCAGGCCGCAAAGGTCCCCCAGAAGATGGAGTTCAGCCCAGCTGCTTCGCTTTCTTTCATGCCAGCATGAGTGGTTGCAAATGAGAAAACGTAAGAGCCATATGTCACCTCAGCGCCAACATAAAAAAAGAAGAATATGAAGAGGAGACAAAGGAGGGCATTGTGGTACTTAGCTCTTCGAAATGTCTGAGCAGAAGCTTTTGATTTTTCCTGCTTTGAGCTTTTCTTTAAAAACAGAGCAAATAAAAGGATGGCAATTACTAAAATGTAAGTACCAATAATAGCATAAGCCCACAGTAAATTCATATCAGCAGGTACTCCGAACAGAGGTCCCGAGTCGGCTTCAGATGACTGGTTGAGTGCAGGCTGGGGGAAGTCAGACTCTGTGCGGTTTTCAGCAGGCAGCGCCGTCCCCAAGGCCAGCTTAGCTAGCAGTGGAGCCAAAAAGGCACCCAAGGCAAAACAGAAGTGTAAGGCCTGCATATGTGGGGCTCCTTTGTCCCCCCAGAGAGCCAAGATAAGCACGTTACCACCTACCAATAAAAGATAGGGATAACGATTTAAGTTAAACATAATAACTTGTTAAAAAAACAAAAAACACTAGCTTATTACTATCAGAAAGGGGATGAGTTTATTTTACATGGCACAAATATATATTCTAAGTTAACAATCACTGCAACTAAGTCGATTTTATGAATAAGGTGCCCTAACCCACTACCACCAGAGAACTCCTAGGCATTATAATATCATATACTCACAAATGGAATTCTACAAGCCAGGAATGACTACATCCTAGAGCCAGGAACATTAGCAAGAGGCTTTTACATGCAGTTCTAGCACCAG